AACCATAAACGCATATAACTTTGACAGGTTTGTACGATTAAGATATTGGCCTGAAACCGCGATCAAAGACGTGGTATCATACCTAATAGAGGCAGATAATAATAATAATAATAATAATAATATTTATTCACTCAATGTACAAAGATAACAAACAATATGAGTAAATAAATATAAAATCAAAACAGGCCCAATAGAAGCCATCGCCTGTACATGGACCAATAATTTAAGTTGAAACTGTAGAATGCAAATGACAAAAAAGGACAAAAATTAGCTACAGTAGATTATGTATTTAGTTGATGTTCGTATTTATGAGTTTATGAATTTCAGTCCTAGATATAGAATGTAGCCACTTTTTTAAATTTCTTTTGAAACAATTTCCGAAACGTAAATCTTTTAAGCCTTTAGGTATAATTTCATAAAATTTAGGCGCTAAATAGAGATATGATCGCTGCATTATAGATTTATGCGGTTGAGGAACTACTGTGCCACGAATTTTGTACCTGGTATAATGATTATGTTTAATTTTTTGGTCGGTGTTTACAAATTTATGGTAGTGAGTGATACTGTGTAAGAAATAAAGCTGTCTTATATCATACATTCGAACATCTGCGTATAATTTTTCAGTGGGATAAAGTTTCGGTTTTTTAAATATCATTTTTAGAATACTTTTTTGAAAAACATCTAAATTATAGATATGTGAGGAACATGCAGCTCCCCATGCTAATATACCATATGTGAGATGAGGCTCAATCAGTGCATGGTATAATGTTCGAAGATATTTTTCTGTCAATATATTCCCAAGGTATTTAATTTTGTAGGATACAAATCTAACTTTCTTTAAAATATAATTGACATGGATGTCCCATCGTAAGTGAGGATCCAAGACCACTCCAAGGTATTTTATGTTGGACACTCTATTAATTTGCATTTTTTGATCATTAATATTGAAGGAGAAATTTGTGTAATTTGGCAGATGTCTAGCATAAGATACAAATGGTAAAAAATGTGTTTTAGAGTAGTTAATGCTTAATTTTCTACTGTTAAACCACCGAATAATTTTGACAAAATCATTTTCAATTACATTTTTCAGATCAGACCAGTCAGTGCCTTCATATAATATTGCAGTATCATCTGCAAAACTAGTTATTTTGCCAACACAATTAATTTGGAAAATATCATTTAAATATATATTGAATAACAGTGGACCTAAGACAGTTCCTTGTGGGACACCACACTTAATATACATTTCTTTACTAAATGATCCTGATATCTGCACAGATTGTGGGCGATTTGACAAATAACTTTCGATCAGTGAGTACGCGTTTCCTCTGAAACCAATTCTCTCCAATACTTCTAATAATAATTTGTGATTAACTGTGTCGAAAGCTTTCTTTAAATCAACAAAAATGCAGATTGAAGGGATTCTGTTATCAATATTTTGATGTATTTGATTTACAATTTTAGTTATTGCGTCCGATGTAGCCTTCCCTTCTGTAAATCCATATTGATTTTCACTTAAAATTTTGAATTTTGTGAGGTATCGAATCATTCTAGTAGATGAAACTTTTTCAAAAACCTTTGCTACACTGGATATTATTGATATTGGTCTATAGTTGTTAACATCTGTTTTTGTTCCTGATTTATGTATCGGTATTATATTACCTTTTTTTAAAATTGAGGGATATATGCCAGATTCAAAGCATTTGTTGATTAGGTAAGTGAGTGGTTCTGTTATGTCCTCGGCTATAATTTTCAAATGCTCGCTTTTAATACCATCGAACCCAGGACTTTTCCGATTTTTTAAGGACATAATAGTGGTGTATACTTCACATTGCTCGACATTATTCAAAATAAATGAGTTTAAAGTTCTTTTTGGAGGCTGAGTATTTTGTACATTTGCTTGTATATTACTTGCTAAATTTTCGCCTATGTCAGTAAAGAATTGTACAAATTCATCGCATATCTGTTGAGTATTTTTTAATACTGTTCCCGATGTTGAAAAGATAGGTAGAAAAAGTGTTTGGTATGTTGATGAAGTTGTTGGCGGTCGTGGCGAGCGTAGTAATGTATAGGTTGCTTGTAGATCATACGAAATAAAATTAAAGAGTGAAAAACTGTTGGTAATTAGTTATTCAGATATGATGCATGATTCTAAACTTTCCGCCGAGAAAATTAAGCTAGATCTATTTGCAAATAAAATGGAATTACAAGAGGTAAAGATGTTCGCGATATGTATCATGAGGTAGATCAACGGAAGTCAATGAACTGGTTTTTCATTGGGTATATTTATAAAACATCCAAATATGTCGAATTCGAATATTTTCGCAATACATATGAATTCCCTAGTATGTTGCTATGGTAAATAGCTGTCCTTGAAAGCGTCTTCAGTACAGAACCGTGAGGGAGACGTAAAAAGTTATTTGTACAGGGTCATATCGTCGTACATAACACAATATCTCATTTTTCCAATTTTACAGGAGAGCGTTTTAAATATTTTCACGAGATTTGAGTTGTTGCTGACAAAAAGGTGTTATTGCTGGATAATTGAATTTGTGGGTGTGTCTGCTTATGTCTACAAGCTTTTCGAAAATGAGCAACGATTAAAATTGTTCATTTTATGTGTTCAATATTTCCAAAAAAAAGTAGATACGTCTTTTTGTGAAATGGAAGGGTGATAATTAATAGAATAAAAACTTAGTTACATCCGTGTTATATTAAGTGATGAAAAATCAAAACATATGAAATTTAAAGAAAAAATGTCTTATTACTAGACGAAATGGTTACAAAAAGGGGGAGAGTGAATATTATGGCGAAATAAGTACCCGCAGTATCTAAAACTATTTAACTCCCTATACAAGTTAAATATGGCAGCACAAACAAAATACTCACTCAAATAATAGTGATATAATAACATGAATAAAATAATAATTAGTATTTCATCTATTACTCATGAGGAAGATTTAAATCGAATCTTTGGTATTCTTGTAAACGAACTACCGGTATATCTCCTTCACACAGCGACTTCAAATCCATATCTTTTGTAGTATTTTTTTTGGCTCTACACTCAGAACTTCGAGGGAATAACTTTTAAATTAAGTTTTTTTCTTTTAATCTAAAAATCTGTATTCGTGCTGAAGGTGAAGTCAGAAAGATAGATACGTCACAGTGGGTACACTGATGAAATTAAAACTACAATTTTACGAACTGGCGTAACTTAGATAAGCCATAAGCTGCAAAATTATATGATGTATATTTTATAATTTCACAAAATTGGCGTAACTTGAGTTAAGCTCCCTTGTGAAATTTAATTTCCTATTAAAATGAGATAAGTCTAATATTATTTTTCTATAACTCTGAAGGTATTAGAAACTGACATGCCACTTCGTCATATTGAAGAGCAACCTTTTTTAAGTAATAAAATCGACTTAACTCAATTTTCGTCTTTTCTGAGATGTCTTATTGACGACGAATGTGAGAGATGGCTTTGAGATCGAAGTAGTTGGAGGTCCTTTAACTTGTGGTCTGGCCAATCCTAGTCAATATTTTCAGGACCGCTTTGACAACAAACGTTCCCTGGACTTAACTTTTTTGTCTTCTTGACTGCTGTATATTTGATGCTATTACTAGACTTATTAATCGTTTGTTACACTTTGATATTTTCCAGTGAATTATAATCAGCATTGCTGCTGCATTATGCTATGCGTGCCTTTGATTGTTCCGAAGTAGAATGGAAAGCTGCTCATCCGTTCAAATTCTGCTTTGCGTGAGAATAAGCCGTAAAGGCCAGATGAGCGGATTGTCTAATTAAGATTGTTCGGTGACACTAATGCTTATGACGTCTTAACACGGATAGTTTATCAGAATCACCGCATTTGTATCTTTCCTCAACACGTCTCGCAAAACGCTTAATACATTAATCTTGCTCTTTAGGTTTAGATTGACTATTGGACATTTTACTTCCCGCGCCAGTTGGCAAATATTGTTATCGCAAAAAATATGGAAATTAAGATACGATGTTTTTCGGATCTTGCATGACATGTACATGAATGAATGAATCGTGAAATTAGAGGCATTCCGGCCACCATAAGGAGCCGGTGCATAGGCCGCTTAAACGCGCCCTTATGCACCTCTAGATTCCTTAGATCACAACCCTTTTAGCGAAGTTGAGAATCGCCTTGAGTACAAGCTACTTGACGTTCTGAGGACCCAAGGTAATGGACCCCAGTATAGTCTGCCTATAGTAGCTCAGAGCTTCACATTTTGTGGATCATTCTGATTAAATAGGTGTCCAGTAAGTTTTTTCTAATGTTAACCGTTTTCGGGTTATACGCGAAAAAATGGTTATATTCAATGTTTAAAAATTCGGTTAAAAGTTATAATTTTTAAGGTCTCCAAGCATTTTTAAGCTTGGTTGCTGGACTCAAAATTGCAAACTTCTGATTTTCACAACTGTAAATCACGAAAAATCATCGTCATTCTAAACTAAAGCAGTTGACTTGAATATGCATTGAAATAACCAATAATTACTATAATTCTTGCTTCAAGTATCAGATTATTCTAGACCAAAATGATGCAGGTGAATTTTCACTGTACGATGAGCGACCAGACACCTAAGTACACAGAATATACTCTTCTGTTCGTATGGCTCTGAGCCCTAGGGGCGTCAAGGACGCATTCAGATTGCGGGTCTGTTTTAAGCTTCCTCGACGAGACTATATCACGGCTAGCTGTATAGTGCTTTTCTTGTCCAAAGAATGCTTCAGATTAGAAGTATATGCGAACTTGGGCATTTTGTAAGGCGAGTATTGTGAGTCTGACATTAAAACCAATAATAAATTTTGATTGAAATTGAAAATTTGAGAATCGCCGCTATGAAATCTCAGAAAATTGTCCTGGCCTCATGACCGCGCCCCCCTTCGCGAGTTGTGACGTGTAATCAGCATCTGATGCACCAATTGCCTCCTCTAGAATGATACTACTCCTTTGTTTTTTTTTTCTAGACCACCGTAAGAAGAACTACCCCCACGTTCACGCCCCGCTCAAACTCGGTTCCAAGTCGATGAAACGCAACCGCCAGCAGCAACAACATCCGCAGCCTCGATCGCGTCAGTCGTCTGCAGGAGACTCTGGCACTGCCCCCAATGCTGTAACCCCGCCGCTTTCATCTAGATCCACCCCTGTAGAGACAAGGTCTGCGCAAGCGCGGCCCGCACAGCAGCTGCCGCCGCCTCTCGATAACCCCCTCTCCGAAGAACTCACGTCGCCGCCCAAGTCGGGAGCTGACTCTGATACAGGTGAGTCGATTGTTATCAGTGGTCTATCTATCCGAAAATCGGGCAAAAATTTCAAGAACAAAGTATCAAAAATGAATGAAAATCGTAATCTATTTTAAAGTTAATACCGTAAACATTAAGTTAGCCATTTGATTAAAACTTTGCTTATACTAGGGGGAGGGGTTTGTAAGGTTTTATGCGCCATGATCGTCTGCCGACGAGCAGTATCGCATGATTTGTTGAACCATTTTGGCATTGCGGTCCGCTTCGTTATACAGGGTTTGTCCGGAAAGTAATAGGACTGAGTTGATTTAAAAAAATTTATTGAGCCAATCGCTACAATTCTTTAAAAACTTTCTAAATAGGCTCCTTCTGCGTCGATGCAGCGCTGCCAGCGCGATTTCCAAGCATTGAAGGCGTCACTGAAGGCAAAATGCTTGCCTTTCATCGGCCTTTTCAGGCGTTCTAACAAACCTGACCTCTAAGACATCTTGGTCCAATGGACAGGATATGTGGTCAGAACGAGATCCACCACACTACTGACAAAAGACGAAACGCCGCGGAAAAAGGTAGGGCTCGTTACCAGCTCAGTCCGTCCTTGGGTTCCTCTTACTTATTAACGACCTCCTGCACGAGCAATCCTCTCCACAGCCTTGCTGATGACACCACTCTACATGCAGGAATTCAGAGTGACAAGCCGGTCTCTGCCGGTGAGCTGAAGAAAAGAAGACTAGCAGCGACTTCATCTCTGTCGAGAGACCTGGCAGTTATTACTGCTTGTGGTCGCAACAGTCTTGTACAGTTCAATGCTACAAAAACACAGTTACTGCACGTTGACGAACAAAAAGCGTCCTAGCAGTCATCAGGTTTCGATGAATGTTTGAGGTGCTACATTACCCATGCTCAATGGTGTTCAGAGGAGGGCTGTCTCTAACAGATATTCTCGGGACCCTTTTGTACCTGCGGGCCGTCGGCGATCTATACTACAACTATTTAAAACTGTAATGACTCATACGCGTGATCAACACGTGATCAGAGCTCGATCCCGGCTTCCTTCCAGTACAGCCGTATAGCGTACGACATATGTCGTTTCTGTGGCTTTGCGGTGGTCAACAGCACAGACAGAGATGGAAATAATGGCTGATTGTTCTCCGCCGGTAGAACCAATGAAATCAAAGACGCGCCTCGACCGGCAGACTCATAGTCGTTGGCAACGCATTGGAACGTGTTTCGTTGAGCGATCGCATATTGTGTTTTTATCAGAATTGTTGTGTGATTGTTATTGTTGTGGTTTCTGTGGTTACTGTTTTGGTTATACTTAACCATGGAGAGTACAAATGGCACGAGTGGAAGTACTGAAAGCCAGGGAACAAGTAGACGGCTTCGTAAAGCACTGAAGAGGGACGCGAAAGAAATCGTGCTCAACGTGTTCAATTATCTGAACAGAACTACGTCGCAGGGAGATGCACTCGCGCGTTGTGAAAGTATGACAGGCGTTCCAGAGTGGACCATTCGCAGGGTGGTGCATGAAAAGAAGAAAACTGGAGCTACTACTGATCCAAAGTTTAATTTGAAGGGACGAAAGGCCATTAAACTGGATGACGATAGCAAAATGGCGTTAAGGCGAACCGTCCATTCATTCTTCTTTAGGAATGAGATACCAACCCTCAAGGCTGTACATGCAGCGATCAAGGAAAATGAAATTATACCCCAAATGAGCGTCGAGGTAATGAGGAAATCCCTGCACGAAATTAATTTTCGTTACGAAACGCGTAATCGGAAGTCAGTATTGATAGAGAGACCTGAAATAGTCACCTGGCGTCGAAAATACCTACGCGAAATGATTGAATATAGGCGACAAAGCAGAAAAATCTATTATTTGGACGAGACATGGGTAAATGCAGGTCACACAGTTAAAAAAACCTGGATAGACAAAAACGTAGTGAGTAACCGACAAGCAAGCATTGAAGGTTTGTCAACAGGTCTTCGTGGACCGTCAGGGAAAGGTCAAAGATTGATCGTAACTCGTATTGATAGCGATAGTGGCTTTTTAGAAGAGTGTGACTTGATTTTCGTCTCTAAGAAAGGAGGTGATTACCATGACGAAATAAATGCCAGCTGCTTCGAGAGCTGGTTTCAAGGGGTGCTTCAGCGAGTTGAGCCCAACTCTGTGATCGTCATGGATAATGCTTCCTACCATAGTCGTCGAGCCGAACGTGTACCGACTATGGGATCTCGAAAAAGTGACATGCAGCAATGGTTGCGCGAAAAAGGAATCCCGTTTGACGATTCATGTGTGAAAGCGGAATTGTATGAAAAAATTAAACAGCACAAACCTGCGAACATTAGTTACGTGACTGATGAGATGGCCCGTCAATGTGGTGTCACTGTGCTGCGGTTACCGCCCTACCACTGTGAACTGAACCCTATAGAGCTCATCTGGGCTCAAGTGAAGGGTTATATTGCGCGCCATTACACAACCTTCAAATTACCAGACGTTAAGGTTTTACTTGAGACTTCCATCCAGCTAGTAACGCCCGAAGCTTGGCAGAATGCTATCCGTCATGTTGTGAAGGAAGAAACAAAAATGTGGCAGCTTGACCACCACATCGACACCATCATAGAGCCAGTTATAGTCAATTTCAACGAGGAAAGCGTTAGCGACAGTTTATTACTGTCAGATGTAAGTGGAAGCGACGATGAATAAAGGTAATTCCCAAATTTTTGACTCACAATATGTTTCAAACCACTCTTTATTAAGCATGTGACAAATCTAGTTCACTCATGTTAAACATTCATACCCCGCCTATGAACAGCCGACTACTGGTAGTTAAGTGATGTTCACGTGAATATCGATGAGTCATTACAGTTTTAGATAGTTATAGTATAGCTCACTTATACCGCTACGCGAATGAGCTTTGCTCCTCATAGTTCTCCTCCATGAGCCATACGACCGCTCCTTTGTCCCTAGGGTGTCGAGACTATGTAACAATCTACGAGTACAAGGGGAGGCGTTTACCAAGTTTTTTTTGGGATTAAGGCGTTTGGCTGCGCGGCTGCTTTGATATAAAATCAAGAATTCGATCTTGACAGTGAAGTATTCAACTAGGTCATCACAGTTATGGTCCGAGGGAGAGCGATACAGGCAGCAAATGAATTCTGGGGATGGTCTGGAGTTGAGCCGAAGCAACAGAATGTCCAGCCGACCTGATTCCAAAAAAAAACGTATCTGAAGAAGAAAAGACTGCTGCGGACAGAAGCTAACATGATTAGTCGGGGCAGAATCGGAGATTTGGTCTCCACCAAGAAAAGCATGGCGGGACGATTAAGCTGCAGATAGAATCAATGTTGCTGTTAATCCCTTAGATGCTTGTGAGATTTTATCGTCGATGTTGCTGTTTCGAGTTCACCCTTCCCCCGAGCATTCCGAGAGTGGAGAGAGCTTACGTCCGGAATTCTTAGTACTCGAGGCATCCATCATCATTTTTTGTTGAGAAGGGGGAGGGGAAGAAGAGGAAAACCGGGGAAAGAGAGGAAAATCGATTGCGTAGATTAGGTGTGGAGACACGCGGACATTTTCAAGGCACCCTGGAAAGAGTATATCTCTTCTTTGCCTAAATAACGCCGAAAAATATTAATATGCGATGAAAAATGGAGCTGAATATGGCAATTACGCAAATCTGACTTTTCCCTGAAAATAAATTAACAATCAACATCGCTAGACCAAATCAATTTAAAGTTGAAGGTCAATGAAACCAACCAACGGATTTCAAGGACATTTCACGCAATGGTCTTTGGGTGTAACTACTGTTTAGTTTTACGTCAAAGTATCATCTGTCAATCTGTCGGCCTACTCACCCAGAATCTGGCGATAATAGGAGCACAGGAATTCTTAAATTCGAAAAGACTGTAAACACGCGATGAGACTCGTTCTGGAAGATTATTGTTGGCAGAGATGATTGATTATCTCGTGAATCGTGGCCGTTTACACCAGACGAGCAAGCCGGCTGTGTATCTCCGTTCGAATATTCAAAATCTAGGTTTTTTTTGCAAACGTATGACTCGAGATTACAGGTCAGTCATGTGAGATCGTTGATTCTTTGTCGTTGCAGTACGATATTTTATTTAATAACCTAACGGTCACGTTTCACGAGATGGTCAATCATTTCTACCAACAATAATCTTCCAGAACATCTACAGATAAATCCACATACCACTGATGTCGTAACGTGTACGAGAGAGAAGTGTGCAATACGTATGTTAGAAAGAGATAGGAGCACCACGTTGCCTAGTAACCCAAGTGACGAGGCACAGTCTTTCTCTCTCGTACACATTACGACGTCTCTATACAGGGTGTCCGCAAAGTTGGGGTTTTCCTTTACACGACGTGTAGATCTTGAAAACATAAGCAATTTTTCTTAGTACCATATACACCAATGTCTTAAGGGAACCGAGATAAAGGGCTCTGCAACATCAAAAATATCTGAATACCGTCCTGTAGCCGCGACCCGCCGGGATATCCCCGACACCCCGACTGGTACAAGGTCTCAACCCGACGGCAGAACTGGGTCGGGGTCAGTGTGTCAGGTTAGTATGCAACCTTCAACCGACGGTTACAGTGACGCGTGTAGAGGCAAACGAACTCGTATAATCGATTGCGTTTCAAAAAACAACAAGCACTAGAGACGTGCCTAGAGAAGTGCAAGTGTCAAAAGCTAAAGTGTGGCAAACGCTGCGTGAAGAGGGGATGAATCCGTTTCACGTCCAACGTGTACAAGCCCTTCAACCTGACGATTTTCCAGCAAGAGTGCGGTTTTGTGAGTGGTTGTTGCATCAACATGACAATAATCCGGACTTTTTGAAGTGCATATTGGTGACAGACGAATTTACGTTCACGCGTAATGGGGTGAATAACTTTCGCAACACACATGTTTGGTCATTTTCAACAAACATTTTCCGTGAATGTTTGGGCTGGCATGGTGAACGGTATGCTCATTGGACCATTTATTCTCCCAAATCGATTGGACGGGATGCAATATCTAGACTTTTCACGCAACATTTTGCCTTACTTGTTAGAAGATGTGCCATTAAATGTAAGACAATCAATGTGGTTTCTGCGTCTGCTCGGTAGCGCTTCAGCTGATTTCATTTTCTGTTGGAGCGGTATGATTTCGAGCAGAGACGTACTTAGCCCTTCTCGTCAACTGGAGAGTGAGTACTTTTTCCTTTATTTTTTTTTTACTTGGTCGCCCTCGTTTCACTACACATTACCTTTGTTATTTCAAGGGTAGTTGTTTCTGAAAACACAGATGACTATATTTTGATGACTGCCTGTTGCCTACTGGCATGGCTGTTTTGAGATGGTCATGAAGAGGAAAGGCAATAAATAGTCAAGGAGCAAAAAGTTTTCAGAAAAGGACAGTTTGACTTTGTAAGCAAAATATGGACAATAAGTTTTTCTGATATTGAAGAATTTTATTATTAATTGACCGATGTCTTATCCTAAACAAAATATCATACGATATATGGTCCTTTCAAATAAAAAAAAACTTTGCTCAATAACTCACGCGCAGTCCACTTGATTCCATTCCAACATCGGCATTTCAAAAAATATCTTATAAGAAATAATATATTATCAATAAGGGGATCACAGAATGTTACCAGAGAGCTTTGGGCAGATTCAGTAAATAAAACATGGAATAAAGTTATACGAGGTATTCAAATGTGTGCGTCTTTGATAGAGTACATTGTCCGCCATTGGTTTTTGCAAAAATAATTGCCGTTTTCTCAAACCAGTATTGATTCTGCTTGAAAATTGTCTCGTGGACTGTTTCGTCATGTTCGCCAAAAGGAGGCCAACTCGGTTACGATACAAATAAAAGATTGATGTACCGGTTAGTGATTAATGATCTGGTTTTCAGACAATGATCTTAATTTCTTTACTAAAACCAGTGACGTAGGTCCTGATTTTTTTATAAACGCGGATGCGTCGGCTGTATGTTCTTCAATAACTGAAATTATCCACGTTGGGATGAGACTATACGGCTGGTTCAACAAATCGTGCAACACGGCTCATCAGCAGAATATCAAGGCACACAGAATCTCCTTACAAAACCCTACTGTAGAGAATAGAGGAGCCGGCGTCGAGTCCAGAAACAAATATAACGAAGCGGACCGCAATGCCAAAAACCGTGTAATAATTAGGCACAGGGTAATGTCGCAGCGCAATGGCAGCCTGTGTGTCTGAACGCTGGCCAATCAAATTGAAAGGAACTTACGTGCGGAAGTGCTTGCTAAAATCTTTGCCGCCATGGACGTTCCCACCGCCCGAGTGCCGTCGATTCAAAGAGTTTCTAACACTATGCGGGAAGTAACATTCAGGCATAAGACCGTAAAACGTGTGCTCTTGTTGCTCGACATCAACAAAGCTTCTGGTCCCGACTTGATTCCTGCCGTTGTATTGAAGAGGCGTCACCGGAGCTTGCTCGAATTTTTTTGCGTCTCCTCTATCTTACGAGTCCGACAGGAAACTGGAAATTTGCTCATGTCCAACCCATCCCAAAAAAGGACTTGAGACAGACCCTTACAACTACATGCCTGTAGATCTGCTTTCTATTATAAGCAAGCTGATGGACAGGTGAACAAATCGGGAGCTTCTGGAGTACCTCGAACGGCTTTATTAGCGACATGCAGTATAGTTTCCGTCATCAGCGAACCACAGAGGATCTCCTAACTTGTCGCGCCATTATGGAGTACACTCATCCAGTCTTCTGGTGAGGCTCATATCGTTGCTTTTGATATCATGAAAGCGTTCGATCAGCTGTAACATACAACGACTCTTACATATCAACGACTAGCAGGTGATGAGGCCAAAGAAAAGGGGAGAAGACCGACAATAGTTGTACACCCAAGAGGGGAAAGAACAGCCCGTGTACAACGGGTGGACAAAAAGAAGCCTGTCGATTGAGGTGGCCAGAGTCAAGCACGGACTCGAGGCTAACCTCAGGAGACGAAGACAAACAGCAAATGACTGACTGACTGACTCCAGTCGACGAGGAAACAGCGAAGGCTTAATGCTGGGCTTAGGTCAAAGCCCCCAGCGCAGGACCCCCAAGAAAGAGGCCATCCATAAAAGTCGAGAACCGAGAGTTGGATGAAACGTCCACCACGTGCTTCCGCAACGCGTGCGCGATCGAGTCGATTTCGGGAAAAATGGGCAAAATTGGGGAGTGAGTAGCTCGCTCGGCAACACACACTCGGGGAATGCGCAGCGGCCTGAACCACGCAGCGCCCCGCCGGGCCTTCGGGCGGGAGAGGAGGGAGGAGCAGATTGCTCTTCCCCCCACTCCTCAAGAGTTTGAGGTTGCCTGGAACAGGGGTGGTAGAGGGACCGCACAGGGTAGGAGGGTGTGTTTGTGTGTGTGTGTGTGTACATATCAACGACCCCCTTTCCTGTACGATCAATCCAAACCACAGCTTTGCTGATGATCGCACTTCATGCCGATCTCTACCGCAGAGCCGGAGAAAAGAAGACTAGTGGCGACTGACCTGTCGTTTTATCAAATTTGGATGTACTTAATCTTGCTGGCAACATTACCCTGTACGGCATGTCCCCTTGCCTGTCCTGCATCTATCGTATGTTGAAAGTTGAAACTAACCATATGACATAGTACCTTTCGGCACCTTCGAATTCCAATTTGTTCCAGGTCCCCTAAACTCCTTGATTCTCCAAGAAGAATCAGATGGCGGTGGCAATAGCTCAGAATCTGAGTATGTGCTATCAGACCCTTGCACATACCTCACTAACGTCGAACACCAAGAAGAGGAAGACTTCTCGCCGACCAGAAAAGTGTCATTCCTCAACAATGAGAATACGGACCAGTTCGATCTTGATGGACTGAAAAATAAGAAACGAAGGTAAGTGTTTACTGTTCGTTAACGTACCCGAATACCCAAGCATCATAAGGAATGTATTTGTCAAAACTAAAATTCCACGACCTGGCTTACCGGGTCATAGCTCAGACCGGGCTCAAAAGTTTTCACTGAAGGGTACCTATGGAGGCGTGAAGCTTGAAAATGTCAGGGTTTTGGTTCAATCTGGGACAGCGCTTAAAATTGAATTTCAATACTTAAAATTGAATTTCAATATTTTGGCAACTTTTCAATTAGCTCGCAACTCCTGTCATTCGACAACATTAGGCCCCATACGAGGGATGTCTTTTAAGTTTTACATATGGAAATAAAATAACGCGGTAGGTAGTTTTAAATGACTTTATTGTTTTTCCAAGTATTCTCCACGAGGATTAATACACATCTGCATGCGCTCGAACCAAATTTCGAAGCACTGATTCCACTCATTTGCTGACAGATCCAAAACGGCATTTTTGAATGCTTCAACTGCTTCTTCTGGTGACTAGAACCTTTGCCCACGCAGTCTGTTTTTAATTTTCGAGAAAGTAAAGAAATCGTTAGGACTTAGATCGGGACTATATGGACGATGGTCCGATGATTCCACGTTTTCTTCCGTTAAATACAGCCTTGTTTTTTGGGCTGTATGCGAGCTTGGTGGAGGATGATTCTTCTGTCGGGGTTGATTTTTCAAAGCTCGGTGATGATTTTTGGCAAACAAATGGTGGTATACCAATCCGCAGTAACAGTTCTTTGCTCATTAAGAGGAATTGTTGCAATTCGACCCGCTTTTGACACAAATGGCGCGACCATCTTTTTCGAAACACTTCGAGAACGGATGACTTTTGTTGGTTTTTCTTCACCTTGGAACATCCAAACAGCAGACTGTCGTTTATTTTCTGGTTCGTAACAGTAAATCCTCGATTCATCACCACCAGCAATGCTGTACACATTTTTTGAGCTTACGGAATTGAAACGGTCAAGCGTTTTTTGATACCAATTAACGCTGGCTGCTTTCTGCTCTTCAGTCTTTCAGTATCCAACGAGAAACTAATTTTTTTACTCCTAATTCTTCATGTAAAATTTTTTGAATTGAGGTGTTTGAGATCTTCAAGGACGCCTCAATCTCGCGATATGTCACATGTCGATCTTCAATGATGAGTTTGCGCACAGCATCGACGTTTTCCTAGGTGACTGCCGTTTTTGGTTCACCCACCCTGGGATTGTCGCTAAGACTCACGTCTACGTTTGAATTCTCCATACCAACGGGAAATTTCGAATTGCCGAAAACAGACACTAACTCAGCAAGGCATTCTTGTTGCGATAATTGTCTCTGAAAGTTGTAATAAATTATGGCGCGAAAATGTTCTCGGTTGAGTTCCACTTTTCTAATGACTTGGTGACACTTAAAAATTCACTGTAGTGAGAACACTGCACATATTGTTGTGAAACTTTGAATTTAAGTTAACTAAAGAGTGAGGTTAAGATTCAGTACTAACGTTCGTTCCGCGCGACCTACTATGTTTCTATATGCAAAACTTAAAAGACATCCCTCGTAATATCCATAATATGCCGTTTGTTCATTTGAAAACTTTCCACCACGGATTTATCGAAAACCTCTGATTAAAAGAAAAAACACCGAGACGCGTCAAAAGATTTGTCAAGGGGGACAACTTTTTAACCAAAAACTACTTCACCCACTTTCACCCTCTGCCCTAAGGTCATCCCCTTAAAAATTTTAAATGACAAGGGGTATCGAGTAATAACTTGTTTAAAAGGACTTTTGAAGTCATTTATTTTGACGTTTGATTTTTTTGAAATCGATCGATTCGTTTTCAAATAAGAAACATCTTCACTTATCTTAATTTGTTCAAATAGAAAACAAAAACACACGAAAATATAATAATAATAATTCGTCTTTATTTAGGGGGCGAAGTTTAGCATAATGCTACTCTGCCACTTAACCCCAAAAAAAAAGAAAAACTGAAAAAACAGTACAAAAAACATAAATACATTGGATAAGTTAGAAGATTACAAATGTAGGTATATAAAAAATATGGTATATAACATATATAAGTGAAGGCTATTCAATATTTCATGATTTAAAAGTATAAAATTGTAACAGTCATACAAAACAAAGGAATGCTATATTGGAAATATTTTTATGTGGGGTGACCTAAAATTTTATCAACTAATTTATATAATTCTATTCAAAATAAATTTCTTCATATGTCTTTTAAATTCATCAGATGATAGCAATTTTGTGGATCGAGGTAGAGCATTGTAAAAAATAATTGCGTTGTAGGTGAAGCATTAACAAAAGAATGATGTCCTGTGGAGGGGCATTGTGAGTGTTTCAGTGAATCGAATGTCCCTAGAATGGATATTGCTTCTAGATATCAGCTTATTTATCAAAAACGGTGGAATGGATGACAGTAAAAGCCTGTGGGTGTAAGTAACTAGGTGTAGCTCACGCAGTTCATTTACTCTCAACCACTTCATGTCATTGAAAAAAGAGCTGATATGATCATATTTTTTCAAATTATTGATCAACCTACAACATGAGTTTTGGATTTTTTGGAGACGTGCTAGAGATATTGAGTCAAGAAATGGAAGATAAACTAAATCACAATAACTAATTTTGGACATTACCAAAGATTCACACAAATTTTCTTTAGGTATAAAGTCAAGAAATTGTTTATTAAGATATAATTGACGTAAAATTGAAAAACAACTCTTACTGATATTATTTAAAAAAAATATCACTTTATTATATAAATAAGTGTCGCCCGTGATTGATCAAACAATGATATAGGCGATATTCATTTTCCTGACGGACATTTTCAAAAACATGTTGTGAGATATCATGGCAGGTTTCGATGATGGGTTGACGAAGTTCATCCAATCTTTCAAATGTCCCCATAGAAAAAGTCTAATGGAGTCAAATCAGGAGATGTAGCAGTCCTATACCCTCTTCGCAGTATCCATTTATCTGGAAACTCGGCGTCTAGTCATTGCCGAACCAGAAGAACATAGTGAGAAATATCGCCGTCTGGCTGGAAATATATTTCATCAAGTATAGAGATTCCATCCTGTTCGATTTGATTTTCAATGATTTCAGTGATAAGCGGATTGATGGTATTTTCCAAAATATCCAAATAAATGTCTCCATTCAAATTTCCATTAATAAACAATGGCCCAATCACTTAGTTTCCTAAAATGCCTGCTTATACATTATTTTTTTTCTGGCTACTGGGTATGCCCTTCTACAAAACTATAATCATTTTCATTACTCCAATACCCAGTTATGCTAATTAACAAATCCATTTAGATAAAATGTGCATTCATCACTTAAGCAGATATTCTTTACATGAATGGTATTATCATTAATCGCTGCAGTCATTTGTTCACAAAACTCAACTCGCCTATCGAAATCATCTCCGGTTAACTCTTGCAATACTTTCATTTCGAATAGCTGAAATTTATGGAGCTTAGTAACTGTGTATCAGCGCCTAATGAAATACCAGTCGCAGCAACAATTTTTCGTAATGAAGTATTAGGATTTATGCCAAAATGACCCAAAACTTCAACTTGAGCGGCTTCATCCAAAACTCTCCGATGATCACGTATTTTATTTGCAACAGATCCAGTTTGAGTAAATTTAGTCCCAAGTTCCAAAACATACCTATGCGAAGTTATCTTCCCCGGATGTCTGGCGTTAAACGTGACTGCAGTTTGCCGAGCACATTGATTTTGGGCACCATAAATTAGAATCATCTCTTTCGGCTAGTGTGTAAACCATTTTGGAAGTAACATCTGAATCAATAAATTAATTTTCACTATCCCAAGATTGTCACAAAGGTGACTGACAGCAAATCACATTCTTTCTTTCCCTTACCAACAAATAACTAAACAGGTATAACAATAAATACAGTTCGCTCAGGATATCTGTGTTGATGCAAAGAATGCGGCAAAAATTCGGGTTGTGATTTGGTTGTTGCCACGTCGAATCTTCTGAATTGCTGTTGATGTTGGTAGTTTCCGTTTTAAACTATTCCGATGTAAACTTGTCCAAGAAAGTCAAAAATGACTTCCAAAGTGCGATCTGATAATTCCTTCGGCAGATATTTTAGTGAAAAGTGATTTTTTTGAAATTTTCTACTAGCTGACACTTCAAATGCCTTGAGAAACAAAAAGTGCACAAAATTAATTTTTTTATCAATTAATGCGATCAGCCTGTCGCTCTCTATCACTTGAGCTTCATTATTGAGCCTCTGAATTGATAGAGTAGGCGTTTAGAATCAATTTTTCGATATTTTGACCCAAAATTTACCATTTCCATCAAGCTGAAATGGATCTAATTATAGATATACATCAACACATTGCTTAACTTCCATTGGCTAACGCAGCTTTTTAAGATATACTTGCAAAAAACTAATACCGCAATGTTTACAATTAGGAAAAGCTTGCGTAATATAAGTACTTTCCACACACTGCTGTCAAAATAAGGCTGCCTTCTTCTTATTTTGAGTTAAATGGGAAAACGTATAATTTTGCAAATTCTCAAAACTATATTTTCTTCAAAAGATAAAAGAGTACCATGATGCATCCGTTAAACTGTTCAGGTAAAACTGAAGACTGAAAATGGCTGTAAAATTTCGTCTTGTTATACATGCTACAAAAAATAGATTACTTTAAGACTAAAAAATATTCCTATGTATTTCCTTATGTGTGTGATTTTTTAATTCAATAATATTAAACTTCATTAACTTTATAATTTATATCGGTCGGTCTATATCGGCATATGGGCAATTATATTGGCCGATTCATATATCGGCAAAATAGGCCAATAATGCCGCTATACATATTAGTATCGGTCGACCCTTAGATAAAATCATTTTTATGTATCTCGATCGCAATAAACGTTCATGTCCCTAGGCTTGTTAGAGCTTGCGGCGCGTCTCATTTTAAATTCATGTTCAGCGCCTTAGATACATAAAAAACTATTTTACTCATAACCCGATCCATTTTTGAGACCAATCAAAATTTTGTTACACTCATAAAGTATATGATATGAAATTAAAATGGTTGCGTAATAACTTCTTCTACTTTGTGACAA